TCCGCACACGTGTCTAACACTTTAGAGAGTTCTCATAGCTCATCTAGTCAGCAATGAATTGTTTCTATCGATTATAGATCGTATGTATTTTTTTTTAATATATAATTTCAATAATTACTGCATTTAAAATATTTTTTTCATCGTTTTGTTGTTTGCTTGATAGATTGATTCCGGATAATAAAGATTATTCTATGACGATCTATGAGATTTTTAAGGAATGAGTCGACAAGAAAGGATCGTCATGGAAGGATGTCCCCAACGTCATTAAAGGCTTCTACTTTAGTGGATTTAAGGTAACATATTTATAATTTTCTTTATAATTACACAAAAAATTTTCTCGTCAAATAAGGTATATAGATTTTTTTACTTGTTTAGAAATTTTTGAATGGGATGTGGACATCGATCCATTTATTAGAGGGCATAGGAGTGTGTTACTTGGAAATGCTATGCTAACTTTGTATACAAGATCAGTTTGATGAGTGAACGACCTTAATATATGAGTTAGGAGGCATGAGATGCGTGATAACTTGATTTAAAGAAACTCGATTGTGTGGCTCGTTTAGAGCAATCATTGTAAAATCGATTGTTGGAGATCGATGGTCCCGGTTCGGGTCCTTTCGGATATACGGGGACTCGATATCTTTACGAGAGCATGTACGTCGGTTGGTAAATTACACTCTTTATTATTATTTACTTATTTTAGAACATTTCAATTTTGGACTTGTCATATTCTTTGTAATGGTTTTTTTTTAGGCAATAGAATTGGGACGTTAATGAACGAGTTTTGAGTTGTTCCGGAGGACTCACAAGAAATGTGATGGTTCATTCATCGATATTCACTCCTAACGAGACATAGGTTAGTATTTTTCAATTTTAAATATTAAATATGAAAATTTATTCTCAAATTTATTTTAATATTATAAGGATGATATTATTATTTTGATAATGCAAGGCCGTGTAGAGCGACTAATCAATGAGTAAGTTGAGGCTCGGAGGGAGGTAGGAATCTTTGAGCCGAAGTAGATTAGAATGCCATATACTCGTAGAATGTTAGAGAGAAGAAGAAAATATTTTATGGGATCGGCACACGGTTGGTGCATTATATGTCTAGGTCAAGTGGCGGTAGCTCTTCATTTGCGAAATCGCAATGCATGATAAATTCAGCTAGCGAATAGCTTTGGATGGACTACGAGGCTACGAAGGAAGAGGTGATTGAGCTTAAGGAGATTATTTGTAACATGAAGTCTCAATACGATTTGATGGCATCCTTACCGATGCAATTTGGAACGAACATCCGGGTTGTCTATAGATTCATCGATCATTCGGTAATCTACTAGTCCTTCCACTCAACCTTCAATCGAGCTCTCAACATAGTATGAGGGTGAGGATATGAGATTAGACAAGCGGGATGAGTGATGTAATATTCAATTACTTTGTTTTTTTTTTTGTTTTTTTATGAAACGTATTCTAGAATGATTTTGTTAATGTTATTTTATTTTTCATATATACATGATTGCTTATGATTGTTTATTATTAATTTTAATTATTAAATATCATATTAATAATATAATATAATATAACTTTTGAAAATGTGAACAAAAGCAAAGGAATTGCAAAAAAATCATTTTTGAAAATAGCGACGAATTGGTGACAATTTCGTTTTTCGAAATAGCGATGGGATAATGATGGATTTATTTTCAAAATTAGCGACGAATTTATTTTCAAAATTAGTGATGGATTAGCAATATATTTATCTTCAAAATTAGCGATGGATTAGTAACGGATTTATTTTCAAAATTAGCGACGTATTAGCTATGAAAAAAAAGGCCATCGTACAACAAATTTAGCGACATAGTTTTTAGGTTTAGTGACAGATTTTGTATCACTAAATTTAGCAATGGACTGAGTATTCGTCGCTAAAATTTAGCGACCAACAAAATAGCGATGGAATTGTTACGTTTAGCGACAAAATATTCGTCGCTAAACTCAATATTTTTTTTTTTTTGGTAATGATTAGCACCTAAAGGTAAAACAAGGCACTTTGTAGGAAGTCTACTAGTTTTAATCTCAAGATGTTAACCATTCCCAAGCAAGAGCCTTCATCAACATTAATGCCTATTAAGGAGTTTTTTTTTAAAAAATTACTTTCAATCTAGAGCACAATTCAAACCATCGAAAACTCTCTTAACATTCAGCAGAATTTCTAAATCATTAAGCCAAAAGCGGATTGTATCATCGGCATATTGAGGGTGACTAACCCTTATTTTATGGCCCATATTAATGCCATTGAAAATCCCTCTAGCAGCGGCTCTATTTGGAAGTACTGCGAGTCCCTCTATACCCAAGTTGAAAAGAAAGGGAGACGGTAGGTCTTTTTGACTGATACCTCAAAAAACATCGAATTTAGAAATAGGTGACCCATTAATCGGGATAGATAGCTTGAAGGTACTAATGCACTAAGAAATCCACATCCTCCATCCGACACCGAACCATATATGTTTCATGATGCTTAATAAATAATCCTAAAAAGCTGAAGTCAAAGGTTTTTTTGCAAAACAACTTTCAAAATAAAGCCTTAGATCTTGGTTTTCTTCATGCCATGAATGATCTCACTAGCAAGTAAAGCACAATCCAAAATCTGCCTTTCGGAGATTAAAGTCGATTGATTCTCATTACAACTTCGGACATAGTTTCTTGTAACCAACAAGAGAGAACTTTGGCTATGACCTTGTACAATCCAATGACAAGACTAATAATTAGAGTGCCAAAACCATCCAAGGACAAAAGGATTGGTGATTGGAGAATGCCACAATTCAAGAAGCTAAATCTTATGTTTATCCTATAAATCATGCAACAAAATGGATGTTCTTTTACCTTTGTAATTTAGTTCATTGTAATTCTCAAAGAGGACGATGTTCTTATTAAATGACCATCTCACTCAAAAGAGCTTAAACTCGTTAGGCGATGCTCTATAATATAATTTATTTGGCTCTCTAATACACTTCCTTAAGTGAAATTCCTAACATTTAGATTTAAAATTTACACGAGTCTATATTGTCTTGTGTTATTACTTGAAAAAATAAGGGTAGGGAGACTTGAACTCAAGACCAATTGGTTAATTAAGCTTTGATACCATATTAAAAAACTATCTCAACCATAAAATGAAGTCTGTCTAAATATATTTTATATTAATATCTAATAGTTTTCAAACTAGAAAAGATTCTTAAAGGCATACGAAAAGAAAAGTTTAAGAAATTGCACCAAAATGTTCTTCGAGTAGATAGGAATTTTATTTCTCTCTCTCTCTCTCTTTTCCCCGATTTTGTAATTGTATTCCAAAATAATTCACTACCAAGATGCTATTCTTGCCAACCTCAATAACAATTATTACTTAAACCATAAAGGTGTTTTGTCCTTAAACCAAGTGACACTAACATATAAGTCTTCTAATTTGCAAGCCCGTAAGCACCTCAAATGGAATTTTCCCCCTGTCAAGTATGATGAGTTTCTTATGGTTATGTATGAGCTACGATAGCGCCACCACATTTTTAGGTATTGAGTTACTAGAAGATGTTTCTACTTGTACATATGGTTCGACATCTCGAGTACGCCATCCCGAACAACAAAGGCAAGCAATAGTTCCCCGGATTTCTCGTTTTCGAAGCTAAAAGCATATAACTTTGCTTGATGTATTTGTTCCTTTCTCTCCCGAATTTCCCTACTCTTAACTACTTTGATTGAAGGATATATCCGCCATAAGGCTTACATAATGACTATCCTATTTTGACATTGTATGCAATAAAATTTAGAATTTTTTTTTCCTTGTAAGTGCTAAGCAAGATATTAGGCATGTATATGCCTCCGGATATCCCAAATATTACAAGGCTACTCAATCACTACCGACAGGAAACTTCTTGTTGCTTGGTACTCACATTTGCGCGACTTCAATCCTTCCAGGACTTTTCAATCAAACGTAGGTAGGCTTGCTGGTTCTTTACTCAAACCACTAAATACAATTAGACCATCACAAAGTGGTACCACTCCCGATTGGGACAACGTTCTTTCTTTGGTTTTTCATAGAGTGGCGCATTGAGCTACATATATTGATGATCATTTTGTTTATTCTGGAAATGATTTGCTTATTAGCTCAAATAAAATCAAAGAATGGATAAATACTTCAAGAACTCGTCGTTTGGGCTCCCCGAATAGATAGTTTATCCTTTTATTGTTGGGGCCTAGTTTTATTATTTTTAGAAATGTTGTTGTTTAGTTTGTTGTCTTATTTGTACTATCAACTCGTTATTATAGCAACTTTCCCGCTAGCTCTTTTCTTTTTTATATATTGATCGATTTTCATAAAAAAAAAGACCATCACAAAGTGGATAAAATATTCTAGGGATGGGAAACCTTATTTCTTCAAAACAAAGAAAACAAATCTTTCCTTTCTCTTCGCCATATTAAATCCTGGTTATGAATCACGGCATGGTTTCGTAGGGAAAGAAAAGCCATGTATTTCGAGATGCACAAACCCGTGGTGAAAATTGCCAGCAATCCATGTTTTTCGAGATGCAGTAAACTTCAGTGCTCTCTTTCACAAAAAAAATAAAAAACCATCACACAGATACACAATCATTCATGCGCCTCAGAAATGCTTTCAGAGAGTCCTGTCTGAAAGTAAAATGTATTCATTGCAAAGCATAGCATAAAACAAGTCTACATTGTGAGAAAAGATAGAGTAAGCTCTATAATTTCTATCGCAAACAGATATACATGTGATCATTCTATTGTAACCTCCTCCATAGTTGTTCCACCTTTTGTTCGTGCCTTTCGAGGATTCAATATAGATGCCTCGTTAGCTGTGGCATTTTCTTACTAGATTTAACCTGCCTGCTTTGTAGTGTCTTTGTCACCCAACTTTCAGTTTTGCAACCGCTCTCTCATTTCTTCTTCAACTTTTAGCAATTTCTTTTTATTGAGTTGCCTACTAGCATTTAATCGCATCATGCATTACGCCATGCCAATTCCATCTCATTAGAACTCATAGGTGCCAATGAGGTTTCTTCATACTCCATTATCCCTTTTTTCCCTTCTTCCACCCATCGTTTCACAACATATTGCACTAGGATAGAAGTTATACACTTTACATTTAGAATTCGTAAAGCATGACAAGATAATATCCCTTGTGAATCAAACATTTTACAGCTACAGTAAACAACATTATTCTTTGCATCATATTGCAAAACACGCACTCGAAACTTAATGATAGAACATTGAAACCATAGAAGAATTTCTTGCTTCAGGAAAATAAAAATCCGTTTAATCTCTACAATTCAAGAACTTTATTTAAGGGATGAAGAAGACCAGCATTGATTGAAAATAAAAATTTCAAAACCGCGATATCTATTATAACAACTGCAAAATCGAACAATTAGAACGTAAAATCGAAAGTCTTAAGGCAGAAAAATGGCAAAGATTTTGCAAACTAAATTTAATTTGAATGTCTTCATTGGACATTTAAACCTTTGAGTTGTCTACCTCAATCATATCTTTGAGTGAAACAAAGCTTGGCTTGTGAACAAAACATGTACCGAAACCATATCTGTCTTTGTGCTGTATTGCTCCATTTTGAATTGTAACCCCATGAGTGTCCACCTCTGTAAAAATTTTCTTTCCATGATTGTACAAAAGCATAATGTCGCATCCCATTAACAGAATATTTCCATTCTTTAAGAAGTTATTCAGTTTCAACTCTAAGAAGTTATTCAGTTTGAACTCATATGAGTCTTGGATTACAAGTATTTTCGTCCAAGATTCTGCAACACCATATTCTTTCATCAGCCACACATCTATAGCGAGGTCGTCGGAGGTCTGAAAATACATACAGAGCTGGGACTCTCCAAAAGTGCTGATATCAAGAGTCAAATATTCAAGATATCTATGAGGAGGTGCTGAGAATGTTCTAAATTGCTCTCTGTCAAAATCGAAAGCACATATTTCGAGATAGCCTGAAGAACCATATAGTTTTTTCGGAAGCCAGTGAAGAGATTCATTGACGAAAACATTCTTATGTTCTAAGAGGCTAAAATGCAAGGAAGTGTAATCATATAGCGGGGCAAACCCAACACTTCTCCATGACTCAGTGCCTAATGTGCATACCTCAGCTAGAGCTTGTGAATTACCAGGCATATGTTTTTCTTTTTTATAAGTAATTCTGATAGCCTTAAAACGATTAGATTTGGGACTAAACCCTAATCCGCATAAATGTGAGTGCAAACCCTTTTCCTCATCAAGTGGTGGAAGATTCAAGTACTCACCTGTAAGTGGATTTGATATGTGCATAATGACCTTACCAAATTTACCATGAGGATATAGGTGTAGACAAACCAAGCCGTTACATGAGTTGATGAACTGCACATTAAATAAAACCTGTATAGGGAAACTGAACTCTGCTTCCAAATTACAGTAGCTAGACTTTCCTTGAATTCAAGCCAGTGGATGAATCGCCCAGACAAACCTCTGGGAAAGTCAACTACCTCTTGAACACAAAGCAGCACATCAGTGAGTTGTTGGTGAAGCTTAGCAAAATTAGGGTTTGCAAGAATATTTTTCCATGACTTACAAACATATCTACATTGAATAAGAGTTGTGATAGGGAGCTTCAGAAAGATCTCTTCGAGGATGTTGTGGGGCAGGATTGATCTACTCGACATTGTTTTGTTTTTCAGACGAAATCAGCAGAGGGATTGTAGCCGCTGCTCCTCTATATAATTAGGGTTCATTACCTGTAATATGGACACTAATATATTTATAGAAGCTCCAATAACAAGTCCTACATACCTAGGAAACTATTTTTAACAAAGATTTGTAACCAGCACTAAAAGTAAGAAACTAATACCTATTAGGAGATCAAATCCTTAGAACACAAGAATATAATATTAATACCAACTTGATTTAATACCAACAACTAATATATATTTGATGGTCTCTAGAACAATAAAAGAGATTTGATGGGCCACTGGTTGAATGTTGGCCTAGAAATTATTCGATAGTTTCAAATTTCGACTTCAACCTCCTCACCTTGTATTCCGCACGAATAGTTGCTTTCCAAGTTAAATGTTCTTCCACAGTGGATCATACTCAAAACGATACTCTCTATGTCCATCTTTCTTAGAAATCGTCTTTTTTAATTTTTAACATATTTTAAGAAAGTTATTAATTGTTATGTTATATCAGTATTTTTTATTCATACTTAAATAGAAAAAAAAGAAAAAAAAATCTTTTTACTAAAATTATTAGTTATTAAATTTAATTTTACATTACATGAAACCAATATTAATTTTAAGAAAAAAATCTATCCAAAATTAAAGTAGTAAATCAAAGAAAAATTTATTAAATTAATTAAAGATCAAGTTGAAAATAATTATGAAAAAGTAACATAATAATGAAAATATTATAATCCCAAAATTTGCATATGTAGTAAAGTCCCTATAAGAATAAATATTTCCCATCTAACAAAAATTTTCTTTTCAAATTTTTATACTAAATGTATTTATATGCATAAAGAGAGTATAAAAAATAGAGATTTTTTTGTTAGTGAAGAGCATGAAATGAAGCAAGAATTGATTTTTTCTTATCAATTAGGGTCATTTTAGGAAAGTATATTATTGAAAAATTTTAGGAGACATGTATTTTGGGAATATAAATTGGAAAAATCTATTTAGGATATATAGAAGGAGTACTTCATTTTTCCTAAAGAGATTATCATATTTGACTTTTCATGTATTAAGAATGTCATTAACTGATATGTAATGCATGAAAATCATGTCAGGTTGAGACTTGTGTTGGTTAAGTTTCTCATTGTTTATTATTTGTAAAAAAATTACACTTGGAATTGCAGTCTATGACTACATCTTGTTATATATGTAGTATATGGAAGTGAACCTTTTTAAGTGTTTCTTTTTATTATTCTTATTTTTTTAACCGTGAAGCTGTATGCATTGATGGTTGAGACGGCAGTGAAAAAACTAATAACAATGCATCAATTAGTCTGGGATAAAGTTCTGAGGGTAATTTAATGGGAATGTTTGTGTACGGTCAATTTATAGAATGATATAAGTTAGACGAACAAGATTAGCCAACATTAATATTTATGCTGTATGCTATAAGTTTTGCTATTCGCGAACAAACAAGATTAGCCAAATTAATATTTATGCTGGAAGGAAGGTTTTAAGTTAGACGATGATCCGTTTGAAACGAAGAAAGTGACTAGATTAGAAACAAGGGCGGGATGTAAAGCATTTATGATGTATGGACTGTCACTTATTTTCATGCACATAATCATAGACTTGCGTTGCCATAAAAAATCATTTATTGACAAATATCAAAAGTATTATGAAATAATGAATGTCTATTTCATATTTTTCATTATTCATATGATTTAATTTACCATTCAATATGAGAAATTGAAAAGATGATGTAATTTATTTAATTATTTATGCATATTTTAATGATTCATAGTCCTTTTAAATTCTCTTCTTAATCTTGAAGCCTATAAAAAGCTTAATTGTTCATTAGTTTATGTATAAGTATTTTGTAGAGATTGAAAAATTATTTGGAGTTGTTATCTCTTGTATTTATTTTATCTTATAGTAAATTCATTTTTCTATCATTTTTCTCTTCAATTATACTATTTTTACTACTTCTTTTATAACGGAAAGATAAAGTGAAAGTTGATGAGTGTTAAGCTAGATAGTTGATATTAAATTTCATTAATAAAAAAAAGATTTGAATTAGGTAGTCCATTCTTAACTTTATATATTAAATATTTATTTATTTATTTATTCAATTTCCCTCACTTACAATTCATTTTTAGGGGTATGTTAAGTGCTTGGGTTCCACAATTTGTGTTGGGACGTGGGCCTTTTTGATGTAATACCCTAATTTACATTCTATGCTTTGGGTGTATATTTATTTTGCTAAGTATATTCATATCATGCTTTTATTATTATTGACAAGTGTTTTTGTTTAGAAAATTAATGTTGCTAAGTCTTATCTCGTAAATCATGAATTAATTGACAAGTGAAAGACTTATAAACTATGGTTTAATTAAATAATTTTTAAGGGTATATTAAAGCTTATACATGTTCAACTTAGGATTTAAATTTAATTAGTGACCTAAATATGTGTTAATCTAGAAAATAATATCCTAGTTAGAGGTTACACCAAAATTAAAATGTCTAATTTAAAACATCCACCTTAGGACTTGTGCCTCATTAAGGCTATTTTTGTCTAAAAGTTACGATCAAGAGAGGGAAATTAAAAAAGGAAAATTTACCTAGGCTTTCATTTGACATTTCATTTGCCTCCACCTATCTTTAAGAGAATTTGAACAATAAGAGAGAAAGACAACAAGAGAGACTTAAACACTTGGAAGGAAGCAAGAGAGAAACTGAATTTCTCAAGAAAAAGAGTCGAAAGTACCAAGACGAATTAAGCTTAGCCAAAAGGAGGAGAAAACATATGAGAGAAGGAAAGGGTTGTTTTGATCGAGAGTTTGAGAAAGCCATAACAGAATTTTAAGCATGACAAAGATGGTTTTAATTACATTCATACATAGTTACACTTATTGATCTTTAGCTCATTTCGTTTTTTTTTTTTTTTTTTTTTTTTTTTTTTTTGGTAGATGAGCACAGCAATGCTTAAAAATATATTAGATTGATTGAGGATGTTGGTCGGGAGCTATAAAGTTTTTCAAATTTGGTACTACAAGTCTAGGTTTAGAATTTAAAGTTTAAACCAATGCTAGGTTTCAATCACTTTTGTATATTGTCTAGATTCGATCATTTTGAGATTATAGGTTGATCTTTTTGTTTATTTTGACATGTTAACATATATATATTTATTGGATTAATGATTATACGAAGTGATGTCAATTTTTGATATATATGTGTGTGTGTGTGTGTGTGTGTGTGTGTGTGTGTGTGTGTGATTAAAGATAAACGAAATGTTTATGGATGAATTGAGGTTTATGAATGGATTAGGCTTTAATTATACACTTGATAGTTCTAAATCGAAGAATGAAAATAAGAATGGTTTAGATTATGTAATCGGGAAATTATGGAAGAAAAATTTATTAGCCTTAATGTCAAATTTTAGGAAGCCTTAAACTTTAAACTAAATAAGAAATTTCAATATGCATTGTCATAAAGATCCATGATAGAGGAATAGTGTATTAGCACTCTCGTCTCCCATTAGGTCTGTAGGTATTATGCAGGTGGTATACAAGTAATTAGACTTAGCAAGCTTAAATAGTACATGTAAACTTGAGCTCCGATAATATCATCAATAATTGTGTGTTTAAATTGCTAAATGTGAACTTTTTATCTAATACTTGGCAAATGTGATTGATGACTATGTGTTTTGTTTATTTCATGAGTTATATTACATGATTGATATTTGTTGGATATGTTTGATATTGATGTGTGAATTATAGCATTTGTATGAATCTATGGAAATAAGAATAAGATGGCAAGGGGAAACTATCATGGTGCGGAGAGCAAGCACGAGAGCTACAAACCAAGAGGAAAATGATGGGTTTACGGAATATGAGGTTTCGACCGAGTAGATGCTAAAGTTATTATGACAATAATGATAGATGATATAGCAACAAGAATAGAGATGTAATGAGCGAGATGGGAGTCCTAATGGCCATTAAGCAACCACTAGCAATAGCAAGGCCATAACATAGGGTTAACATGTTGAGGGGTTAAAAAAGTTCAACCTAAATTTATTTATGGGCAAGTTTAACCCTATATTGTTGAGGAGTGGATAGAATCCTTAGAGATGATCTTCGAGCATATGGTAATGAGAGATGAGGATAGGGCGTTTTGTGCCATATTCACGTTGGTCGATGATGCACGAACTTATTGGGAATAGGCAAAGGTTTATTTGGATGTGCTCAACCTTATATGGGCATAATTTAAATGGGTCTTCAATGAGAAATTCTTCTTCGATGGTGTGAAGTCAAAGATTCAAGAGTTCATGAAGTTAGAGTAAGAGGACATGTCAATGACTAAATATGTTCAAAAGTTTGAGCACATTAGTCGATTTGCAACCTTTATGTTAGGAGATGCTCGTATAAAAGAGGGGACACTTTTGAGAGGCTTGAAACCCGAGGTATGTAGTGTAGTACATGTGTCTATAGATGGTTACAATGTTATGGTCACCAAGGCACTAGAAATTGAAGAAAGATGCATCATATGGAGGTTTAAAATAAGACAAAAATTTTTCCTCCATCTATGGCTTCCAAGATCAAGTCGTTGAATTTACTAATCATACATACATGAATTAAAGATTGAGTAAAGGATTACCTATTGTAGCAAAAGATTTAGCCTTTATAAAAAAAAGATTCATCCTAGATGTCTAGCCTATATTGATAATCTACATAATCCAAACACCCATACAAGAAGCAATAAGATGTTGTAGAGTGCTAGCTTTACTTTTTTCCGACTTGTTTAATTTTTCTCTTTGTAAATCTATTTTAGGATATTTTGTGATAACCCTAAGAGAAGAGAGAGAGTTAACATAATTTTTAGGAAGAGAAAGCTATTTTATCTCTTCTTTTTCCTATACTATGTGCCTCTTAAAAATTCACCTCTCTTTCCTATTTATAGGGAAGTGGCTTCCTTGTCCTCCAAAGATAAGGAAGTTA